GGCTGGGAATGTAGCTCACTGTGAAGGCCCTGGGTTCAATCCCAGGTATCCTGTAGTAAAATAAATAATAATGAAAAAGTTGAAAATCCAGTGGCAGGTACAGCTTCATACAGGGCTGGATGTGGGTTCTATGTATTTCCGCAGATGGCTCTTTTTACCTTCCAGTCACCTTCACAGTTTTAGGCAGGCTTTCACTGGCCCAGGCTTGTCACAGGGCTATCACTGTCATTTGCCTGCTGTGTGAAGGAAGTAAGGTTGGCCTGCCAAAATCACGTGGACTATGTGGAGGAGGGAGGTTCCCTCAAATCAGAGCCAGCCAAAAATCAGTTAGTTCTGTACCAGGCTGGCAAACCAGACCCACCTTGTGAGAAATGGTGAGGAAGTTCTTCAGGCTTGAAGCAAGTGACCTTGGGTAGTAATTTGAATATACACGAAAACAAAAACACCAGACCGAAGTAAAGTTAGTTACGTAACTACAAAAGAGTGTTACAGGCCAGGTATGGTGGCTTATGCTTGTAATAGAATACCTGACCAACACAGGATACTTATGAAGTAAAGAGGGGTTTATTTTGGCTCATTGTTCTGGAAATTCAAGTCCAAGACTGGGTGTCCCCTCGATTTGGCCCTGGATTGAGGACAGCACACCGTGGCAGGAGGGGAGGAGCAGATTGCTCATTTCACAAATGAGAAGCAGACAGACTGTGAGACTGGGGTTCCACAGTTCCTTTTGAGAGCGCCCTTGGTGACCTAAGGACCTCTTGCTAGGCCCCGACCCTTAAAGGGCCACAATACCTCCCTCTACTGCTACCCTGGGGACCAAGCTTGCACATGGGGACGTTTGGGGACATTCATCCAAACCATAGCCACTTTCATTGGGGATTAAGTTTCCAACATGATTTTTTTTGGGATCCATTAAAACCATAGCAATTGTTTTATGCAGTTTCTGCCTTTGTGTTATATTTAACAACAAAATATTTAGACAAAAGTGTGGTTCATTGTGTTAGTTGGCTATTGCTGTGGGTGGTGCTGCATAAACTCAGTGGCCTAAGATACCGAACATTTGTTCTTGCTCCAGTCTGCAGGTTTGCTGGGCTGGGTGATGTGGGAAGCCACACGGGTGTGTGCCTGGCAAGCTCAGGGGTCTGCTGGGCCTCTCATCCTCCAGCAGGCTGGCTCTGGCTTGTTCTCCTACCTCACACAGGGGTCCTAAGGAGAAAGTGGGTGCCACTGAACATCTTCGAAATCCTTTTGACTAAAGCCTGTCACTTCACACAGCCAGCCCAGATTCCAGAAGCAGAAATAGACCCTCTCTTGTTGGGAGAAGGTAGAGTCCTATTTCCAAGGGCATGGATAGGGGAAGGGATGGTGAGAACCTTTTGCCATCAGTCTCTAACACTGGAACATCTTCCCCCTTTGAAAGTAAAACCATCTGAGCTGTTGGGTACAGACACCCACTGCGTGTCCTCACTCAAACAACTGAAAACAAAAAGCTGGGCATGATGCATGTCTGCTACCCTAGAACTCTGGGAGGCTGAGGCAGGAGGATTGTGAGTTTGAGGCCAGCCTGGAGGGTCCTTATGTGGCCACTGCCTCTGGTGCTGCAGGTTCCCACACAGGCACTGTCAGCTCCTGGAACAAGCCAGGTTTTCCCTCCGCCTCCAGCAAACTCCCCCCTTACCTAACAACCTTCTGTTCTGTATCTATTTCATTTGTTCCACACACATTCCTTGAGTACCTTCTGTCTGCTGGGTCTTGTCCTAGGCACTGAGGATATATCAGTGAACAAGGCAGATGAAGTAGCCTGGCCTGGTGGGATACTCTGGGACACTGAGGCAGGAGGGTGGAAAGTTTGAGCACAGCCTGGGCAACCTAGCAACCTAGGAAAACCCTGTCTGTAAATAAATGAATAGGGCTGGGAATGTAGCTCAGTTGAACCATCACTGAGTTCAATTCCCTCTATCCCCCGCCCCCGCAAAGCCTCACCAGTAACAGCTAGGATGGAGCCCCAGCCCTGTTACTCACTAGTGGTGGACACCACCGAGTCTTGTGTAAACACACCTTCCCTGTAGTGGTCGCTGCTTCCCCCCCCCCCCCATCGCCCAGCTGATCTCTTTTCTAGGAAGTGCTGATTGCTGCAGACTTGGTTGCTCCTCTTTTAGATCCTGGCCCCGGCCACTATTGTCACTCCCATGGACAGGAAGCCTGGTGAGGACAGGTTCTAGTCACTGTCCTGTCCCCAGAGTCACCCAGCACAAAACCATGTACACAGGAGGCTCTAGTAAACTTGCTGAGCTCGCGGATCTGTGGAACTTCCGCCCACGGGACTGCTGTGTCACAGTGCCCCCTTGTGGTCACCTCAAGATTTAGAACCCTGGTGCCTGAGGCAGCGGGACGTGGCGGGACCCCCAACCCGGGTTACCAGGGTCCCTCCTGGTCCCCATGAACCACCAGGGGCGGGCCCCAGCCCCTTCCCCGGCCCGGCACTCAACCCCAGTCCGGACTTCCATCTCGTCCCGGATCCCAACTCTGGTCGGGAATTTGACCCCAATCCGGGTCTCGACCCCTATCCGGGCCCCGACCCCAGTCCGGACTCTGACCCGGGTCCGGACCCCGACCCCGATCCGGACCCCCACCCCAGTCCGGACTCCAACTCTGGTGCGAACCACGACCCCAGTTCGGGCCTCTACCCTGGTCTGGACCCCGACTCCAGTCCAGACTCTGACCTTGGACCAGACGCGGACTCTGGTCCAGTTCCCTGCACCAGCCCTAGCCCCAGCCCCAGCCTCAGCCTCCGCTCCAGCCTGGGTTCCGGCCGTAGTGGCCGCTGCAGAATCATTCCTGAACCCGGTGCCACCTTTGGGTCCACTCTCAGAACCTCCTCCAGAGGCAACTTTGTCTCCTGGCAATGATCCTGCGCATGGCCCGAAGCACGACGAGGCACCGGTCGGCACCGTCGCCAGGCCGGACCTGGAGCCCCTTTCCCGCCTCACCCCGTCGGGCGCTGCCGATCTGGGCCCCGCCTTGGGGGCCTCCCCAAGGGCAGACCCAAAGGTCGCCAAGCTGACAGGTGCCCCCTCACCCCTGGCCCCATCGTGCCATTTCTACCAGTTTCCACCGCTGCACTCACCTCCGCCACCGAGAACTTCCACCCGGACAACAGAATCTTGATTCGTGTGACCTACCTGGAGAGGGGCTGCCGGCTCTGACACCGGCTTCCGGTGATGTGGAGGTTGAGGTCGGAGTAGGGCGAGGGGAGGAGTCGGGAAGAACCCTAGAGTTCTACTTCGAGGCTGGAAACTTGGCTCCACCAGTTCTCTTTGGGGCAGGGGAGCTCTGGGTTCAAATCTCTGCTCTGGCTCTGAGTATCATTCACTCTCATTCATTTGAATGATTCTTGGCGCTCAGCTTCATTTACTCACTATTATTCATTCATCCATTTGTATGATTCCTGGCCCCAAGCTTCATTCTTCACTCATTCCTTTGTGAATGACTTGCCTTCAGGGTTCTCTGAGAGAAATGTGGGTGCACAGGCTGCGAGGCAGGGCCGTTTGGGGTGTGGGACACCTGCAGGAGGCATCTGTGGCTGGGGCGGCGGGGGGGGGGGGGGGATGGGAGGATAGGGAGGGGGCGGGGCGGAGGCAGAGGGCGATGGGGTAGATCACAGGGCCCCCTCGGTGCTCTGGAAGGCTGAGCAGGGGAGGGATGTGATCTGACTCGGGTCTTCCTAGGGTCCCCCTGGGCTTGGGCAGATACTAATGCAGTGTCTTTCCTTGTCTCTCACCTCCCTCCTGCCCTTAGCCTTCAGTGGTCTCTGAAGCTATGGCCTTCGGGTGAGTAGGTTTGGCTTTGGAGTGGGGTGTGTATGGGGCATGAAGACTGGCAGGAGTTCCTGTTTCCCCTCTTGTGAACACCTGTGACTCCATGACCCCATCTCTAGCCCTCAGTACGTTCTACTGAAAAAGAGTCTGGAGCAGCAATTTCCAAATCTTCTGCGCTTTGTAAGTGGGAGGTGATCTGGGGCCTGGGGATAGTCAGGAGCTTTGGATGGGAGCTCTCAGCCTCCCTTCACCCACAATGTTCCCTCCCCAGGAGGACGAAAGAGTGGCCCAGGCTACGGGAGGAGTTTGAAGTGTTTGCGGAGGGGAAACTAGTCCATTCAAAGAAGGTGATTCTGAGCGAGACAGCGGGGCAGGGCTGGGCCTGGGGTTGGGGTGGTGGAGACACAGCTGGATCTTTCTGTGTCCAGCAAGGCGATGGCTTTGTGGATGAGGGCAGGCTGCAGACGATCGTGGACGCTATCAACGCGGAGATCAAGAGAAGGTAGCAGGCCGTGGTGGGGCTGAGGTGAGCAAGGTGCTGTGCATGCATCCGTCAGCAGGGGTGGGATTGGGGCTTGGGGCCAAGGGCAGGCAAGCCACTGTCTGGGTCCTTCCCGGAGCTCAGCCAGGCCTCACTGCTTGAATCCTGACAATTTACCTACACCCTTTTCTGAGCCTCAGTTTCCTTATGTGCGTAAAGTGGGACTGTTGAGATGACTCCATGACAGGACTCATACTAGGTAGCAAAGAATACATGGCTTGTACTAGGTCTCAGTGTTTCTCAAAAGAGTTTTAAAAGCTTATTTTTAGCTTTTAGTTGTAAAGCAGTAGCTTGTAAATTGAATTGAATTGTAATTGAATTGCATGGAATTCGTCATGGTGGAAAGTACTATTAGTACCATTGATCTAAGGTATTAAATGATGTCATAATAGTTTATTTACCATCAATATGGGATTTTTTTTGTGTTTTGGTACCGGGGATCAAAGGGATTTTTTTTTGAAGTGCTGGATATTGAACCCAGGGCCTTGTGTATGCTAAACAACTGCTCTACCACCGAGCCTGATTCTGGATTTTTTTTTTGGATTGAACTCAGGACCTTGCGCTTTCGAGGTAGGCGCGGTGCTGCTGAGCTAAATCCCCAGCCCTGATTCTGGATTTTTAAAAAAAATATATTTTGTATTAGTGCTAATTAATTTTACAAAATACTAGATTTCAATTGGGGCATAGTGGCACATGCCTGTATTTCCAGCATTTTGGAGGATGAGGCAGGAGGATAAATTGCAAGTTTGAGGCCAGCCTTCGGTACATAATGAGCTCAAGGCCAGCCTTGGACATAGGGAGACCCTCTCTCAAAAAACAAAAACGGGCCAGGGATTTAGCTCAGTGGTGCTGCGCCTGCCTCACAAGCGCAAGGTCCAGAGTTTGATCCCCGGTACAAAAGCAAAAACCAAAACAAAACAAATCCCAAAATACCCAAACAAACCAGTGTGGTACAGTGGTACCTTGGTTTACAAATGTCTTTTCATGATGCTGGTTGTAAACTGAATTGGACAAGAACTGAATCACATTCAGTGGTTAGGTTTCATAAATGCACGTAACACATTTTGCTGATCCTGGAATTTTTTCTATCATTGATTTTTAAAAGCAGTTATTATCTATACATTTGGAGCTGCTTCTGGTTTAGTCCTTGGTCTGTTCCATGTGTATATCTAAGTGTTTAAGGAAAGACTTCATTAAGGTGATAGCTGAGCACTGGAAAGCAGTGAGGGATTGAACCTTGTGGATATCTGGGGAAGAGTATTCCAGGCAGTGAAAGCAGCAAGGGCAAAGGCACTGTGGTAGGAGCATGCCTGGTGTGTTTAAAACAACAGAGACTACAGCAGGCATTGCAATTCATAGAAAGCAGGAAAACAGTGCCTGACACACCGGAAGTTCTATCTGAACACTATTATTCTGATGGAGTTGTCATTTTAATGTTTTCTCTCTTTTTTCCCCATCTCAGGAGCCGCAGCAGGATGATGAGAAGGGCTGAAATGTAGCCGAGTCAGGTCCTTTTCTGATGGTGGCTGGGGCTGGGGTGAGCTGGGGAGGGCTGCAAGGAAATACAGAACCTTCCTGCAGTGGATCTGGCCTGACTGTGTCCATGCACTCATGACCAAGGTCTGGGGAAGTCACCTGCTACAGGGATCCCAGCATACCCCCTCCCTTCTTCTTCCCCCTTCCCCTTCTGCCCTGGGGGTAAGGGGTAGGAGTGAGGGAGAGGAGGGTCCGTGTTGTGGCTGGGCCTTAAATGTCCCCCAGGGACTCATATGCTGCAGGCTTGCTGTCCCCAGACTTGGGTGCTCCTGGGTAGTGGTGACACCATTAGCAGGTGAGGCCTAGTGAAGGAAGTCGAGTCATTGGGGGAGCCCTTGAAGGGGACAGTGGGACCCCAACCCTTCCCCTCTTTGCTTCCCTGCCGCCATGGGGTGAGCTGATGTCCTCTGCCACACGCTCCCGCCATGAGGTACAGGGACACTACAGGCCCAGAGCAGCAGGGCCAACTGGCCATGGACTAAAAGCTCGGAAGCCGTGAGCCCAAAGCACTCCTCCTTATAAGCCAAGTCTCAGGTATTTTGTTCCCTCCCTCCCTCCCTCCCTTCCTTTTCTTTTTTCTCTTTCCTCTTCCTTCCTTCCTTTTCTTTTTTTCTTTCCTCTCTCTCACTTTCCCTCTCCCTCTCCCTCCCCCTCCCCTCCCCCCCTCTCCCTCTCTCAGCACTGGGGATGGAACCCAGGGCAAGTGCTCTACACTGTGCCAAACCCCCGCCCAAATTTAAGTGATTTTAAAGTGCACCAGGTAGTTGAAAGTCCATCATTTGATTCTTCCCCCTTTATGAGCATCTATATCTTTTTTGGGGGGGTCAGGGTCTCACTATGTAGTTCAGGCTGACCTTGAACTCAGCAATTGTCCTGCCTCAGCCTCTCCAGTGCTGGGATTACAGGCATGCGCCACCATGCCCTGTACCTATATCTGTTTTAAAGACTTTTTATAAAATACAGACAATATGAGAAATACCTGTGTCTCACTCCCCATTACTGACAACTGTTTCTAGTCACATACTAAACCTGGAGAAATGATCACACTCAGATATGCACATATCTAGGGCTTTCAGTCTTTGCTCATAGAAACTCTACTCTTTCTGAGGCAGCTCCATGAATTCAGTATTTCATCTTCTAAGCCAGGTGTGGTGTGGCGCACGCCTATAATCCCAGCACTTGGAAGGCTGAGGCAGTAGGATCCTTATACTTTTTTTTTTTTTTTGGTTGAGACAGGGTCTTGCTTTGTAGTTTAGACTGGCCTCAAACTCATGGTGAACCTCCTGCCTCTGCCTCCTGATTGCTGGGATTACAGGGGTTTGCCACCTCACCCAGCAATTCCCTATACATTTGAGAGCAGCCTGGGCTACATAGTGAGTTCAAGACCAGCCTGAACTGCATAGTGAGACCCTGTATCAGAAGACCAAAACAAAAATCTTTCTAGTCCTTTAGCCTTTGTAGAATTATTCATACCTATGAACACAATGTCCGTTTTGTTTCATTAGTGATATCACACCAAACATATCACCCTAAAAAGTCCTTTTCAGCATAATTTTGAGACTTAGCCTCATTGATACCCTATATTTAGATCAACTATGTGATTAGGAATTTGGGCTTTGAGCCCCATGATATCAGCCTAAACTATGAGGCAAGTGGAATAGAGGCTGAACTCTGTCACAGGACCAACGATCGGCTCAGTGACACACAATGCAACTCCACAGTACAACTCTGGCCGCTGAGGCACAGTAGCATCCTTGGATAAGGGTCCAGGTCCCAGCCAGGCATGGTGGTGGATGCCTGCAGGTACAGACCCAAGAGCAGGCAGGCCAGGGTGCAAGGCACAGGGGCAAGGGATGAGGCTCACTGCCTGGCTCTTTTCCAGAACAGCTTTCAATTTATAACAGAACTTCATTCACAGTAGCCATAAACAAACCTTGGAATATTCTTTTAGGAAATTTTTATTAGTACATGTTTGCAGTACATAATGATTACACTCATCATGGGGAGCTGGTACATGTACATAACACATCTTAATTCCTTTTGCTTCCCTTGGAATATTCTTAAAAATATGCAATACCTACATGAAGGAAACTTTAAAACACTCATGGGGACATAAAAAAGTACTTGAACAAATGGAGACTTACCAGATAGGAAGACATCACAAAGACGCTGATTTTCACTCAAAAGCATATAAATTTAATGCAATCCAAATAAAAATACCACCAGCTTTTGTAAAAACTGCAATGAATAAAGATGGTCCTTAAGTCTCACAATAGGGGGAAAAATATCTGAATAGGAGAAAAAATAAAAAAGAAGCAAATGAGGGTAGAATAACTCTCCTAGAACCTAAAATATTTCAAATGAGTAACAATTTTAATGTTAACATTTAAAATCAAGCAGGCTGGGGATTTAGCTCAGGGCCACCATGCCTGCCTTGCAAGTGCAAGGTCCTGAGTTCAATTCCTGGTACTGCAAAACAAAAATAAAAACAAACAAAAAAACAAAGCTTTGGTTCATAGTCCTGTAGTGGCAAAGCCTTTCCTACTGTGACTAAAAGCCTACAAGCCACAAAAGAAAAAAACTAATATGTACAGATACATGAAAACAAATATTTCTGTGCATAGCAAAAGGTTCAAAAGTAGTCAGACTGAGCTGGGGTGTGGTACATGCTGAGACTCAGCACTCTGGGAAGCTGAAGCACAGGAATCATGTCCAGGCTCAGCCTGAGCAACTCAATGAGATCTTGTCTCAAAATAATAAGAGTAGAGATACTGTGTAGCTCAGTGCAAAGGCCCTGGGTTTAATTCCCAATGTGTATTTGTGTGGGGGCTGAGGGCCAGGGAGGGAAACAGTCAAGTGAGGAACTCTTTCCATCAGATATCACAAAGGGCTGACTTCTTTCATGACTGATAACACAAACTGACTTGAAAAATAAGCAGCCAATGAAAAATGAATGATATAAATGATACAGACAGGTAGTTCACAGGGAAGCAAAAGCAAATGGCTCATATATATTGAAAACATATGTCCTCCCTCATAGAGAAACAGAAATTAGAATGAGAGAAATGATGCTTCACTATCTGATCCTCCAAAGTCTGACTGGCCAGGCTGTGGCGAAACAGGCATTTATCAATGGCAAAAAAGGCAATGCTTTCTAGTAATACTATTAAAAACACCAGTGCATTTGCGCTTTAATCAAGAGTTTCCTCTTTTAGATACCTACTCTACGGAAAATGAGTAAACACATACAAATTCACAGAAAATACTAAAACATTCTGGAAACAACCCAGACACCCAAAAGATGACTACTTCATTATATTAAATACAGCCTTACATTGTAGTTGTTAAAAAAAAGAAAAAAAAATACAAATCTCTCCAATGTTAAGTGAAAAACCCCCAAATGATGATAAAGGGAGATACTATGCCGCCTTGTAATAAGCTACCTTGATTTAAAAAGAGGGAAACAAGCAGAATATCTATTGATTTTAATTTGTATATGCATTAGGAAATTGTTGAAAGTCAGTCAAAAAAAAAAAGTAGATACAAATGAACAAAATCTGAAACCACTAACAAAGGTAACTGTCAGGAACAGTTTTCAAGTCAACAGGCAGAGGACAGGAACAGGAGGTTAACTTTTCACAGTATATTTTATGATACTTTGTTTTTTGAATCTTGTGCACAGAGTGTGGAATAAAATAAAAAGTTTAAACATTAACAAAAACAAATCTATTCCCACACCCACTCAATCTCATATGGTCTTGAAAATATACTTATCTCACAATAAATACATGTTTTCTTGAGTATTTACTATTCATCTGACATTTTTTAGAAAACATGGAAATTAATTTTACACAGGAGCTGGGAGCTGACAATATGATGACCACAAATTCTGAACTCCCCAGGTTCTTCAATAGCTTTCCAATCCTAACAACTCAGACACGAGTGGATTCCTAACTGCTGCATTTCCTTCATGTCTTTGGTCATCTTGGTTACTTTTCTGGGTTCTATCACTGGCCATTTTTCTTACAACTTATCTTTGCAAAACCATCCTTTACGGTGAAACAGCGTTGAAAGAATTCCCACAAATGCTGACGGATGATTAACAGTCACAAAGCGATGTCCTAAGTGTCCCCGGACCTCTTCGGAAGCAGCTTCAACAGTCTCACGTGCCCTTCGACTTCTTTCTCTGGCTGTGTCGTTTCATTGTGCACTGCAGTGTTCTCTTCGAAGCTTGCATTTTCCCCCAATGACAACCAACTAGGTCTGCGCTGGCCTGTCTTCGCCTTTTCACCTGACCTCCGTGCCACCCACCTGATCGCCGATTCAGTCGGCCATGGGACTACCAGCCTCCGCGGCAGTCAGAGCAAGGGCGAAAGCTACTGCGTCGGACTCCATCTGGGGGGGATTCGCATCAAAGGCCGCTTCCCTGGCCTTGCAGCCTTCCACAAAGAGCCTGCGGCGCTCCTCGATATCTCGCAGTAACCTGACAGGGATCATGGGGGAATTTTCCAGGTACTGGTGGAAGAGCCGCTGCTGATTAATTCCTACGAGGCCCAGGTGCCCGTGGAGGCCGGGCATAGACATCAGGCCCGGGACGTGGCTGGGGATCGGCCTGGGAGCTAGGCCCCGGACCCGCGCCATAGGGCAGGCAGCTTCGACCACTGGGGCTTCCTGGGCCTCCCGCGCCCGCCTCCTGCCGCCCACTCCGGTCTGCAGGACGTCGCTGACGCCATTCACTGCACTCATTTCTGGGGGACTGTTTTCCCCGCGTAGTTCAGACATCTCGGACCGCACTGCCGGCTTCCCTGCTGCCTGAGCGCTTGCACAAAAACAATCCTGAACGTGTGCTTGATGGATATGCGCATGCGTGGGTCTTCACGCGTGCGTAAACGGGGTGTGTGTGTGTGTGTGTGTGTGTGTGTGTGTGTGTGTAAACGTCGTACGCATGCGTAGGCACTGTGCGCAATCCTGGAGCGTCCCCTAGAGGTCCGTTTGGGCTGGTTCAGTTCAGCATTCACTTGGAACCTGGGAGCGGTGGTGCACATCTGTAACCCTAGCACTCTGGGAAGCCAACACTGGAGGATCGCAAGTTGTTGCCAAGCCTTGGCAATTTAGCGACTTAGCGAGACCTTGTCTCAAAGATATATATAAAAAAAGGCTGGAGGTGTAGTTCAAGGTGAAGACCCCTGATTCAGTCCGCAGTACCGCTCCCCAGCACCCCCAAACTCACGTGGACCTCCTTATAAAGGTCATTTTCCAGCTCCCATCTTAATGGAACTCTGTAGATTTTAAATTTGTAAACTTGGAAGAATCCTGTTGCTTTTGGAGAATTCATGTCTTTTCTTTACTAGCCTTTCTGAGGATTGTGCCTCCTCTCTCATAGGCATCTCATCTTCGCCTACTCTTTAAAAAATGTCCCCCTAGGTTCACTGTTAGGCTGATGCTCTATGTCAGGCAGACCTTAAAACGACCCCCCCCCATCTCTAGCTCCTGGTATTCATATCTTTTGTGTAATTCCCTCCCTTTGAGTAGTGTTTTTGTAGTTTCCTGCTACCTCAATCTCTCCACAAACGCTGTGAGCATCCTACCCAGGTGAGCAGGTGCACCAGTGTAATAAGGTTGGTTCATGTCACAAGTTGTCTCTTATTCTCCCCTGGCTGTGACCAGTAACAGTCAAAGTCACCGGTGAAATCTCTTGAGCGTTTTCTAGTGTGTTCGCCCCCTCTGACTCCAGTGAAGGCTCTTGCCCACAGTCTTCAGTCTCTCTGCTGCCCGCAGGCCTGGTGGGGCTGGTTCCTGTGGCTCTCCTCCCATGCGACCCCCTTAACACACAGTGACTCTTTCTAGGATCTGTGAGTGTAATGAGCTTTGCTTTCCCGAGCCTCTTCTTGTGCTCTTTTGGTTTCACCCCAGCTGAGCATCACCCAGAAACACAGCAGAGTGCGTGAGACCTATGATTTGCTCCCAACCAAGAGAATATAACAAAAGTCATGGGATGTCACTCTTGTCATTACATCATAGCAGATAGTGTTAGAGACTCTTCCTCATCGGCTGTGAGGAAGATGCATGTTCATTAGAGATACTACATCTGGGGTGACAGCTGTAACTGGAATCACACCTGATAAGGTTTATGATTATTCATCATCATGATCCATCTGGGCCATCCTAAACACTTCCAGGAATAGAAACAGGACCCTGAGGTCTGTGGACGCCGTACCAAGGTCTCGAGTCGTGCGGAACACACTGAATCCGCCCGCGCCCCGGCAGCAATCCACTGGACACACACACACACCCGCTCCTCTGCCCTCTTCTCTGTACAGCCACCTGGTTCCACACTACAAAGATGCAGAGGACACCGGACCACCAGACCACTGTACTGGGTAAGTTGGAGTCATCTTCACCTCCCATCAGGACCAGGTCTATCTTCAGGGGAAGGGCAGCTGGAACCTGCAATACAGCTCTGCAGAGTTCAACCCTACGGGAGGGCAGGGAGCTCAACTTGGGACTTGCAGCCAGAAATCTGCCTGAATCTCATGGGTCTGCAACTGGCTTGCTGAGACTCACTGACTTATATCTGCACACTGCTACCCACATTGTCTATTGTGACAGCAGAGACATACCCTGAAAGAGGCCCTTCATCTTCATTGTTATTTTTTATTCCCAAAATTAGTATTATTAGTTTGTTTTCTTCTCTTCTTTTCCTTTGCTCTTCTTATCATTTTTTTCCTACTCTTTGCAAATATTTGTTTTTCTCTCCTTTTTTTCTTTTCTTTTCTTCTTTCTTTTCCCTTTCGTTTCTCTCTCTCTCTTACACCCACTCTCTTGCTCTCCCACATTGTTCATCTTCCCTTTTTCTCCCTGTTTTGGTCCTCATTCAGAGTTCTTTATTTTCCTATTTTTCTCTTTTTGCTTCTCACCTGTGTCCTCTGGCCACACTGCTAACCTTCCCCTATCCTTCTTCCCAACTGTCCCTCCCTCCCCAACCCCTTCTAACTCTCCATCCCAAAGGGTAAAGTTGTTATATTGAAGAGTTTATTC